ATGCATGCTTCAATCCTCATTTATTAAAAATCTGCAATTGAATTTTGTTAAATTAAGAATTGTTTATTCATTCAATCTTTCTATGAAGACACATTTACTCACAAAGATCTATTCTCTGCGTGTTACAGATACTTAGGAATTTCATTTAGTCAGTTACTACTAACTTATCGTCTCCTTCAGCTGGTCTGTCAATATTACTTGTAGCTATAACTTGATTATATTTCGGGTTGAGGATAGAAATTAAATCCAGTACTCGTGTTTCGTACTCTCTGGAATTCGTTAATTTGATAATAATATGTTCCCTCAATCAACTCAAAAATCCCTTTGAACGTCCGTGTGCTACTCTCTAGATTACTGAGTCAATAAAGTAGTCAATTATTTCAGTGTATATAATGTTTAGTATTGTTTACATGCGTTTATTTTTTGGTAAACTTAAAATATATTTGGTAATGCACTCAGATAGTTCAATATTTCAGTTGCTACATACAAAATTCAGCAACTAAGATGAATTATTAGCTCAACCAATAATTCATTTGAATTTTATCAGTTTTGAAACGTCAACAGCATCAATGCCTTTTATGAAACAAGTTTATTCAGAATAAATAGAATGTGGTTAGCAGTGGGAGTCGAGACATCTATTTTTATATCAAATTGTGTCATAATGGGTATATTGAGGCGATCCTCACAGTATGCTCATGTTCCAGCCAAGACTAATGAAATTCCCGGCAGAATATCAACAGCGAGAAGTCTATAATATGTATTGCTTGGTGAAATGCTTACTTCGATGAACTAGTGATCTAGGCAAAGACGCATAGAACTTCTAAAAATAATTTTTTTGTTATTTGAGTTTCTAAAAGTAAATATCGAGAATTTACAGCATATATAAATGTGTAATAAATTGCAATAGACTAAAATTACACATAAATCAATTTCAGTAGCACACCGAAAGTTATATATATTTGAATAAACATCAAAAGAATTAAGCGAAGGAAATTTTCTTTTCGACGAAATCATTTACTTAAGTCGTACATTCGTATTTATCGTTGTTTGATAAGTTTATAAGTCTATAGAAGCACAGAAGAGATCGCATCATACAGTTGTTTGAGACTTCAAATATTAGAAAGAGTTTGTTTCATGATCAGGTGATTAAAGAAGAATAGAGAGACGAAAATAATTTACGTGTTAGAACTATGAGAGAAAATTGTCCACTTGACAGGTAAGAAGAAAAATGATAAACGTAAAGGCTATGATCACACTTGAATAATATTCATAAAACATTTTTAGAGGACAATGATAAATTATAACGGTTTTTTGCCCACTAGGATGGAGAATATAACGGTTTTAAAAAAGTAAAAAATGATAATAAAATCATTATCAAAACGTACTACAGAAGGGAATTAGGGCCAAGAGAGGATGAGAGGTTGAACGTCTTGATTTTACATGCAGAGTTTGAGCTTGAATTGACGGGTCTCAAACACTTGAACAGTTTACAGATTTTTTGTTTAATTCCGTTTGATCCAATTCTTTTGGTTATATAGATTACTTTGAAGGATAATTTCTTTGAAGCAAAGTAGCCAGAGTAGATTATGTACTTCCGTATCGAACTGGTGATAGGTTTTTATTCCTCCTTTTAAAGCCACATCGTGTAATGTTCTGAGACGCGTTTGTTGGTGATCACTTTGTGCAACCAATGTAGCCTCTCCCACAAAAGTAAATAAGTTCATAGATGCACTTATTACATGTAGTAAAATATTATACATTTCGGATTTTTCTTCGTTAGTTCAGTAATAATAATAATGCACACGTCAGAATAATTGAATATCTTGCATTAAAACAGTGAATTTTTGTTTAAAACATATGCGTACAACATAATATCTAATAGTCTTCACTGTTGTTATTTAACTATACTTGGAAATATTTGATTGCAATTCAAAGTATTTTTAATAAATAATCACTTATTCCACAAAGTCTTATAATGGTCAGCATGTAGAATCAAATGGATTTTGAAAAGTATTCGTTGTCTACTAAAGACTTAATTAACGACAATAAAAATTCATGCGTTATAAATTTGTATATTTATTATTATAAATGATACATATGCTACAGTTTTTGTTGTTTATACTAACTCAAATCTTTCCATGACAGTAGTGATTTAGTCTATGACAATATAACACAATTTCAGATGGTTGTTTAATCATTTTACTATCTTGTCAAATTTGTATTGAACTACATTAACCTAAAGTGAGTATGATATAAAAATGAAATGTGATTAGTTTATCAATTATTTACCTGCTTGAATGTAATGCCTGTAAATCAGTGCATAAATTATTTCAAGCATTAATCTGATAAAAACATATAGTTAATGAAGCATTAAATTTAATGTATTTTTTCAATATTACGCAGTGCTGAGGAGTCACACTATAGGACGAAACGGCCATCCAGTGCTTCCAGGTTTTCCATGGTGGTCTAGCTTCAACTGAATCATGATCTCAACCACTGGAATTACTATAATATCCACAAAAACCTTGATTTTCAATATTGTCTCAAAGAATGAGGGTTTCATGCTTTTATAAGTGTGAAAAACGTCCCATTGCCCTTCTATCTATCTATTTATCTGTCTATCAATCCATCCGTTTATCTACAAATATATTTATCCACAAATCTCTCTATCTACCTACGTTCAATCCTAAAAACATATCGCGAAAAAACCTCAGACCGATGAAATTAAAGGCTTCTAGTGTAGTGAACAGAACACGGGTTGGGACAATCGAATGTATTTAACACCCATTACAGGACTTGTTAGTAAAATCTAACAATCATAATGTAAATGCTTAATTTGCAAAATGTCCACCAATTGTCTCAAAATGACTCACACTTCATTGTTCTTGCATTTTCATACAAATTGTATCCTGTTTCCATTCTTTACTGTTCGATCCTCTTGTCTCTCTGCTGCCAAACCTCCTGTTCACGACTAACATCATATACTACTTATGTCAATATAAGTAGCACACACCACACTAGCAGTGCTATTGCAACACATTTTTTTGAAACAGAACATTGAGTTGATAGACTGAAATCTATCAGCATCATCAGTCAGCAGACAAATTTTATTCTTCTCAAATTCACTGAATGCATAGACACCAAATACTTCAAGCATGATTTATGTATCCATAAGTAAACAGTTGTAAACCATTTCTTGATGTGATGGCTTATCGTCAGTTTATTATATCATTTTTGCAATTTTTTCTCTCTTGTTTCAATTACATCACTTATCTCAAATCCACAGTTTTACTTTAGACTTTTTCACTTAAATGCTATTAATTTATGTTTAGCTGCTTCATTACATAATCAATTAATTATTTCAGCCGTATGATATCTTGTTACCATGTCTTGTGAACCAGAAGTTTCTCTCGCACATTATATTTATTTACAACACTTTATATGTTGCCAATCTCACTACATTTATTCAAACCGCTGCTCTACCATGATGATACGCATTCAATTTTACTGTCATAAATATTTAAATTTTACGGTAATTTTGAATTTAAAATATAATTTGTAAGCACCTGATGGGAACCTAAGAAAAAAGGATTCATGCTATTCTTCTCAATTCTTTGTTCTTGCTTTATTCAAGTTAATAAAGAGAACTTATCATATGAAGTTACTCTTAAAGTACTGAACCTGTGATTGATGCATATGAAAACATATACTATTGTCGTCTAATTATTTGCCAAACCCTACATTTTAACTTTGAATAAGCCTTCTGTTCATTTCTAATTTCAGATGGGTTTTGTGGATATTATAGTAATTTCAATGGTTAAGATCATGAGTCAGTTGAAGCTAGACCACTATGGAAAACTTGGAAGCACTGGATGGCTGTTTCGTCTTATTGTGGGACTCCTCAGCAGTGCACATCCACGACCTCACCCCCTGTGAGATTTGAACCCAGGACCTACTGGTTTCGCGCGCGAGCACTTAATTGATAAATGACCACCAACTTATTAACTATTAATCGTAACAATCAAATTTAACAGGATACCTAAATAATCAATAACTTTAATGATGGAGTTATTTCTCATCCTAACAAAAAATAATGGTAGTAAAATACACTTATTGATGCGCTAATTGTTATTATTGTTTTATTAATATCGATGAATGATGCATTCACTATAATATGATTCAACAAACACCATTAGTGACTTCAGACTATTTTGCGAAACGTTTAGTAGTTTTTGTAAGTCTTTTAAACCGATGCTAACTGGATTAGTGGACAACTGTTTTAGCTTAAGATAATCAAACAATATACGCTTATAGATTCACATTTACCCAAACGAAATAACTCCCAGTAAAGTGCTCTTTGATTTACGGAACTTTCCATATTTATAATATTTAATCATCAATTGTGAAATTATCAAATATTCCGGAGTACTGAAAAACTTAGACAATGGTTTAAACACCATTCTTGTTATCACCCTATCTTGTGTTAAACATGAAACTTTAGATTGTAAACGTTAAGCTGCATTAAAATTTTTAAATAATTTTATACTCAGTGGTATACATGAAATTTTACTAGCGAATGTATCTTCACTGAAATGAAGCGGCTTTTTAGAACTATCTGATTTCTGTTCGCTGTCATTCTAACATGAAGCCATGATGTAAGCATTCTCATCCGAGTTTTTCATGTTAGGTTCTTTATATTGTATAACAAATATTACGTTATATCAAGCGTTTTTTTGTAGTTCAAAAGTAAGAATCCATGAGCACATCATGCATGCATCATTACCTCTGTTGGACACATTTTTAGAATAAAGAATTTCAATTCTAGACTAAACCACTTACCTTTTCGTTGTATCAGCCGAATTCGTTACGTTGTCAACTGAGCGTCTCATAATCAATAGTAAAAAATGTGTAAATAATCGACAATTCTAACACGTTTTACTTTTTTTTAAAAAACGTTTATTTCTATTTAATCGATAAGAAATACTGATTACGTAAAAACTTGACAAATATAGGCGGCACAAATTAAAAAGTTTATGATAACACTACAAATCATCTAAGTAAACATTTGTATCATATTAATAACAATGAAATTCATTTGTCTTCTAAAAATAAAAATAATATTACCAATTTTAGGATACCTATATATTCATATCCTTCCTTCACTTACGAATAAGTTTCAAGAAAAACCAAAATTAGTGAGACAGTATTTAGCCAAATTAAGAAATGTCGGATAAAGTGAAATAAAATTTACAATAAACCAGAGAGTTAATTTATAGAACTATGCAAGAAAAGTAAATAAACAAACAGGTTATCTGAATAAACAAGCAAATATATAAATTTATTGTATGAATGGATATAATCATTTGTTTTATTTAAATAAGGTTGTATTGTTTTATGTAAGTAAACCATGGAGACTGTTAACAATACTTGCAATCTAATAATCATCAACCAATAAGAATATTATTGCGATGAGAATACAAATAAACGTTACCCACATAGCTGATAATAACCATGCTTGCCAATTAATCTGTTGACCATAAATAGCCAAAGCGACTATGAAACATATCACTATAATTAATTTAGACAAATTAATAGAAAAAAGACTAAAAAGATGGTTTAATGTAGATACAGTAATTTTCAAGTGATTTAACTCGATAAGTTAATTTAGTGTAAAATAGACCTAGATATATGCAGAAGAATTTGTTAACCTGGCATATAATAACGAACTTATTTTGTGAAGATTGAACCAAGAAAAATCGAGTGAACATCTGTTTTACCTTTGGTTAAAACTTTTCAACTGTGTACATTAGTAATCCTGCCAGAATTCGAATCTAGAATTTTCAGGTTTCATGATTAATATGATACATTTAGACCATTTAGCTGACATTTAACTGTCTTCATAGCTAACTCCAATTAATTCATGAATAAAGACAATCGTCATTTATTATCATTTCCTAAAAGCTTGTCTCATCCTCGACATATTTGTATTCCGTTTGTATTAGTTATTTTAATGCAAAGAAGGAATATTACTCCAAATAAATATAATATATAAACAGTCAACGTAACGTTTATCAACAATGTTTGATATATTGAGCTGGAAGAAAAACCAGACTATTTTTATTGAAGTCTATGGACACTTTCGTGAAAACATTACAGTTAAAATTCTTCTGAGAGATAGTTTACTCAACCGACTGACTGATTGGTTTCAGCTGAACAACTAACAAAAATCAAGATTCAATGAATACGCGTTTTATTCTATTAATTAAACTCTTCATTAATGCATTTTAAAGCAGCTTTCTCTAGTGATTCATCATTATACTCTCATAAATAATTATTTTAGTACAATTCAAATGGAATAAAAAGTACCACTGGATATTTGAATTGTTCAAACGCTTGAAAATGAAGGTTTTTGATAGAAGAAAGGATCACCTAAAAAATTTGTTTCATTCAAATATATTCGATACTTTTATTAACTCATTATCCTGATAAACCTCTAACCCTTTGTAATGCTAATCATTCTGAGCTGGTAATCAGGCTTTTGTGACTTTTTTAAAACAATAATAAGTAAAAATTCTAAAATTTTAGGCAATCAATTAGTCGTTCTACATTTATGATAACACTATCTTAATGTTCTACTGCTAAATTGTGATATATATATATCCTAGTACTTTTAATATCACAATTAAGTACGTTTTTGTAATAAATTCAACTGAAAATTTTATAAACTTACAGGCTATAATTAGTAAAACAAGTATTGCGATCACTATTCTTCTGGAATAATCTCTGCAAATCAAAACAATTGCAAGGATAGCTGCTATTACTAACAAAACCAGTCCGGCTATACTAAGTCCTCCATTTGCTCTCAACGAAGAATTATTTGTATTATCTATGTAAAAACATCAGAAAAAAACAGTCACAACAAAGTTTACATTTTCTAAGTAAATGAATTGAAGTAGACGATGTTTTTTGCAGATTAAACCTTTTCTGTTTCAGGATAGGGTCGTAGGGAATGTTGAATTTCACTTAAATCACGAACCTAACTTAGGCAATCTTTGAAAACCTGAAATAATAGACAACCGTTTCATCCTCTTTCATTTGTTAGGATTTAGATCTGCCAGTTGTTCATGTTAAGGGCTGAAATTTAAACAGTCTCTTCTGACATGTATAGAGATCCTGAAAAGAATACCTCAATATTTCCATTAAATCAGAAGCATTTAATCATCTTTTAAATAAACATATAATCTTAGTATAAAAAATGAATGATGATAACTGGATAAAAGTTGAAAATATTAAATTAAACTTAACTGTGCCTAATGCTATGTCAAATGTTATCGCTGAAATAAAGTTTGTATGATGACGAGTTATATAACTATTTGTCGCATTAATTTCAGCAAATTATCGGCAGTTCATGGAAATAAAATTCTTTCCGTTTAAAGTCATTGATAAAATGAACAAAATAAACTTACAGAAAATGAAAAATTTTTTAAGAACTCACCATTCCATGTTGGATTAGTGGCAATCGATACAATAATACATGCGATTGCAGTAAGTATAGAAATGAAATAGATAATCTTAGAAACAGAAGCCATTTTATATTTTGTGTGACGATTCGTTCGATGATATTACTGGCTTGAATATTGTTTACTTCTGTAATTAGTTTACTTTTAATTCACCAAGATATTTGCTTTCTCTGCTGTCGTTGTCGTAAAATAAACCTTTAATTCTGTCGAGCACCGTAAAATAGTAGAATATTTTTAAAGTTAACAACAAATCACAAATATAACATATTACAATTACTAATATCTGTTTCTATTTTTATACTAATTTAGTATGATGAGTGTTCAGTGTGTCATTATTTTGAAATAATCCAATAAATGAGGTGATTTCGACTGGTTTAAATAAGATGTGAATTAAAAATTTAATATGTCATTATAATTTTAATATTTGATCACATGAATATGACAGTTCAATGTAAATATAACTTTTTACTCATAATAAGACAATAATCTGTGAGGAATTTCGTTATTCATCATGATAATTCTATAGTAATAGTAAAGTTCAGAATAAGATTATGAAATAATTTCACATGGACTTGAAACAATTATCAATAAGTAGGAGAGATGGATTGTGACTTGCAAAGGAATGCAGGATGTGCATTTCGTCCTACTTAGAATTCGCTAGATGAATATATATATATAATTTATAATTTATAAGATGCAGTAAGCTAACTGATCCTTCTTACAGAGATATAAAACCTTTAAAGAATGTCACAATTAATACGCTTTCATGAAACTCTGTTGTGAAATTTAACGACAGCGCTAAACACTATGGATATTTCAATCATAAGTTATGATTTGTATAACATAGTGTCACTGTCTCTAACAGTTGGTAGCTGATATTTTATTTGTACAGCTTGAAAAACATATAACTATTCTGCATTCAATAGTTTGATAAGTGCTTAATTATGTCTTTACCCATTGTCTTTGAAATATTTATTATTAATTTTAAAACAAACAATCCTAACTTCCATTAGTAGACTGCCTTCATATAACTATTTCTTGATAATGAAATGTCTTACAATTACAGTGGTTAGATCAATGACGGTGTTGTGTGCCTGCAGACGTTATTGTTTTTCTTTGTTTACTTATTAAGAATTAACTGAATGACTTTACTGAGTTTAGATAATTTTTTCCTGGTTAGCGCTTTCTTAGCAAAGTTGTTTCCTATGGGTTGAGGTTACTAAACCCGTGCCCAGCCCTCCTCCTTTATTCGGGCTTGTGGACGGCAGTAACCCTAGAAGGGATGTAGACAGAACAACAGGTGCAACAACCAACTATAATGGAAAACAAGCAAATGTCCCGCTGCTAAGGAAATTAGGATAAGACGCTGGAAGTGGATAGAACATACATTGAGGAAATAATCAAACGGCATCTTGATGCAAGCTCTATATTTGAGTCCTGAAGGCAAATAGGAAAGAGTAAGATCAGAGAAAAGGTTGCACTTGGGATCGAAGTAAGACATCAAAAGAATGAATGACAATTAGGAACAACCGGGAAGGAGAACTCGTGGCAGAGTTGATTTAAGAATCCTAGAGGACGCCCTATCCTCTACAAGGAGTAACAGCCGAAATTAAGTATGTTTTATTGAGTGAGTGACAAGCTCACTTCGTGATTGTTTTTTAAATATTATAAAATATAGATAGTTTATTAAATGTTAGATACGTTTCTTTGATTCTACATTACCGGTTTTTATGGTTATTTTTAAGTAGATTTGAAGTAATACGTGCACAAAATAGCTTTCTTTAAATTGTTTTAATCATGCTCAAAGAGAATGCTTTGAAAGAGTATTTAAAAAAGACTAAAACAATCACATGATTTAATAATTTTTCAGATTTCTCCGACATATAATGAATATAGTCTGCAATAACTAGACATATAATCTTAAAATAAATGATATGAATCATAACATTAAAACATAAATTGCAAATGTGAACATTTCATGATATAAAAAGCTCAAATTGAGGGCTTTTTACAATCTTTTCACTGTAGTTTCAGAAGCCATGTCGGATGTGAGGCAATTACTCATTGAAGACAATGGAGGGTAGTCGTGCAATATCGTGAATTGGTTGAAGTTAGACATTAGCACAGTTGGATGCCCAATGGTCAATGGCTCAATGGTCTAGGGGTTAAGCGTCTGCGCACGAGACCTAAGGCGCTGGGTTCGAATCCCACATGCGGGAGTGTGGGTGCGCAGCAGTAAGGGGTCTGATACTAGGTCGTCCAGTGCTTCCAGGTTTTCAATGGTGATCTATCATTCATCCATTTATGATCTCAATCGAAACCATACCAGTCTTAAAAAAATTAATTGCCATTTTGTGTTTAATCTTAGAAATCAAGTTTATCAAGCACATTTTATCAGCTTTCTTGTTCTGTACTGTCACACAAGCAGTAATTTCTGTTCTCAACAGGCGTGATTACATGATTCCTTTTCCTTTCCTACAGCTATTAAACAAATGAATTATCTTACTAAATTATTTTTCAAATTTGTTGAATGTTGTCTGTAATTAAAGTTAACAAAATAAAATATGGTGATGCAACAGTCTCAGTATAGAAAAAGTCTAGAAATAACTAATGATGAAGATTGGTATCAATATGAATAAATCAAAAACGTTATCTGATCCTTTAACAAAATCGATTAGAAGGTCGAATGAAATAGGGATTATAAAATTGAATAATATTGAAGCAGGTTGACATGGATTTAAATCTCACTGAGTGTATTAGTTTTCTAAAAACTGTAAGTAAGGCTTGCTAACCATTCCCAGTCATCTCGAAATTCAAGTCTAGCGTTTTGTTCGGATTATCTCCAACACCCTAACATTTAAACATACTAATTAGGTTAATAGAAAGCAACTATATGCTGTTTTAAGCTTAATGAAAAACTTATCTCCTAACTCGTAGTTAGTGTGAGTGAAGTTCACTGAAAATGATATTCGTGAGAAAACGTTGTTTAGGTATATCGACAGCTAAAAACCCAGACAAACTCAGCTGACTAACATTAACATTGATGTGAATTTCTTAATCATGAACCAGCTTCAATGATGACAGTTGAGACTAAACCAACACATATGTCATGGTTAATTTAATTATCATTACGTGAAAACATATTTTGTAATGTAACCCGAAAATATACTTCGAATATAAACCAAAATATTTCGAAACTTGTTTTTTTTTTAAAATGAACCAAACATCATATACTGTCCTTGATGGAAGTATGTTCTGTATTATTGACTATAAGTCATTTGAGTAATATATTATTTAAAGACTGGCTACAATTATTTAAATTTAAAAAAATTATGGTATTGCAGAAAAACCTTTTAGCTGTCTTATTCTGGTTGTGAAATTTATTAGTTATAAATGTGTCACAAGTTGGAACAACTTTTGACATCTACATTGAGACTATCAGCAATTATTTATTTTAAGGTCTTTCAATCATAAAGTCACTTGAAATCAACTAACAACAGTTAAGATATTAGACTAGTCAAAAAAGTACAGTCAAACAACTTAGTTGTGCTTTTGTCCTCCGTTTTCTATCTGAAACATGAGGAAAGTATAAATAGCCGTAGTATAACCTAGAAAAAATCGCCTTAAGATCTAACTGTTCTTAATAACCAATAATTAATAAAATTGCTAGTCGTTCTTAAACCTTCATTCATTACTATTCATTATAAATAAGGTTCTGTGCTTTACATTTTCCGATACTGCTTCCATTCGTACCAGATCAAGGAATTTAACGTTAGTTTATTATGTTAATTCCTGCCAACGCTTTCGCTTTAAGATATTCTAGCGACTACTTGCAATTAGTCGAAAATATGTGCAACAATAGAAATTCCATACCGATAGACAGTTTACATGAATGTTATAAAATCTGAATAATTACTAAAATAGTTATCAAGAGAGATGAAAAAACTAGTTGTTGATAAAAAAGATATGTATACATATTTCGGCGTCTAGTTTTGTATTTCTAGTGGTTTACTTCTAAACCGACTTTAATTTGGCAAAAATTTGTTGACCAACCAAAGCTCATAAATCTTATCATTATAAGTATGAAAATGGTTTGATTGGTGCGATTTCTTCCTAGAGCTTTCGTATTATTACGTTTCGCTTTCACAGTGACGAATATGTTTCTATATTTCCAGAAGACCAATCCTATTATTATTTTAATAGTTTCTAAATCACGAAATGCTCTTAGTTAAGACATCAATGAAAACCTGGAAGCATTATTCATTCCTTTTTCTCTGGGACGGGGCTCTTCAGTAGTGAACATCCACGGCCCAGACACCAGTTATCGAACCGATGAAATTCGGTCCTTCGTATGAATGCTTAAATTCTTGACCACTAGTCGGGTATCCAATTGCATAAATGTCTAACTTCAAATAATTCATAATATTGAGCAACCTTCATTCATTGCCTGTGGTAGATAACTGTCTCATAACTGACATGGTGAAACTCCACTAGTCACTCCTCTTCACTAAAACTCCAGTAACTGCATTTTGAATGAAGTCACTAGCAAGCACATGATTATTATCGGTATTTATGGGGATCAAAGAATTCTCAGTTTTTGAATCGCGGACTGCTCCTTATTAGCTTACTTAGTTACTATCGATGTAATTAAAAACTATCAGTTTTTAAAATTTCTGGTTATCAAGCATGTTGAGTGACTAATCGAATTTGCTCTGTTGACTCCAACGATTAAATATTGCCGGTGTTTAACAAATCCTGTCTTTAACAGTCATTTATTTAAATTAATTTGATCATAGCTCAATAAATAGAGATGCTGGCAAATGTGTAAATACTTTACAGTATTCTTATATATATGCCTATATAGCTTTGAATTGTGAACTCAGTCATCAAGATTTCTAAGTAGTTTGGTGGAAGAGTTGATGCAGTGCAGGGCTTTCGATTACCTTAAAGAACAATACAGTGTTTGAAATACGTTTCTTGTCCTGTAAATACAAAATACTTCATCAAGAATGCATTTTGTTAATGTTTAAATTGATGATTGTGAGCGGTACATGTAAACTCAAAAATAACTTCGCTAATTTGGGAAATTTTATCAACCCTGGTTAATTGATTTTTGATAGAACCTCGTCACAGACTCAGAAAGCTCATTTGACTTTGACAGACTTTCTTCACTTGTGTCATAGGCCAGAT